ATCCTCCTGCTTCAGTCTCCAGAGTCACTGGGATTACAGGCGAGTGCTAGCCACACTGAGCTTCTGCTCTCCTTTTCTATATACAATTCAAAAGATTGCTTTTTGATAGAAGCCTGACTTAATTTTGACGTTTGATACTTAAATCATTTCTTTAAATAATAAATTTAAATTTCTACTATACCATGATACAATGGTAATTTTTTTAAAAAAATCAATAAAGATAAGAACTTGGAATGTCAAGGCACCTGTCAGGAGAACTATGTTTTCAGAAGTGTAAATTCTAAACTACTGCTATTAGTAAAATAAAAATAATTGTAATCAGAATATTTATAGGAGAAAAATGTCACAAAGGGAAATATTTTTGTGTATAAAATTAGAGCATTTCTTGAAAATAAAACATGATTTATCTAACATTTACAGTAAGCTACATAATTAGCAGGTGATATTGAATGAATAAAAAAAGTTGTATGACCCTGAATGACTAAAAAAGTACTTCTGATTGAAGAGGTTTGAATGAGAACCCTGGTAATACTGTATCCCAGTGTGCACTCTGATTCATTTTTAGCTACTTGGGTCCTTCTCAGAATGTGCTCTTCCATTCTATAATGAATGTTTTGTAAGGATGCAAGCCTCAAAGTGTGAACCTATGTGTCCATCTGAGAAATAAAATGGGTATGCCTCCTTCCCCAAGGCCCAGCCAGCCATGATGGGCAGGGAATTCTGCCTCTGAGTACCTCCACAAGTATTGACCTCCCGGTGCCTCAAATCCCTCATTTGTGAAATAGAGGTTTTGACTGTATAATTCAAAGTTCCCTTCTAGAGCTTAAAGCGTTTAATAGAATGCAGTTAAACAAGAAAGAGTTTTGCTGGTTAGTTTGGCTTTGGGTTTTGTTTATTAGTTGTTTTTGGTGCATATTAGAATGCAATCTTACAGTTCAGTGGTTATTGTCTAAAATTAGCAAGAAATTATTTAAAACTCTATTAATTTTAAAAATCAGAAATAACTAAGCTTACTGTGATTTAGTGCACATCAGAATTAGAGGATGGACTTTAAAAAGCAAAGGTGGGGCTAAGGGTAAACAAGGTCCTGGGTTTGATCCCCAGCACCACAAAGAGGGAGAGAAAGAGAAAAGGAAATGTGTATACATGCTATTTATTTATTGTGTTTAAATTAGATGAGGAATTTAAATTCAGACTCAAAGTAAAACCCAATATGTATTTAAACAGTTTATCTAGCCCATCAATCAGGCCACCTAAATGGATTCTGGGAAACTGCACATACAAACCCTTGTCATTTGTCACGGAGGCTGGAAGAAGGGTATTCTGTAAGTAAGGTGGCAGCCTCAGAACTATAACTGCATTAGCTGCCTAATGTCGGGAAACATGAGGACAGTAGGGGTTGTTTCTGTATGTGGCATCAGATCTAGGGTGGAATTAAAAGCTTCAGATCTTCTCTTTAAATGATATTTTATGTTCACAGGTTCTAACTAAAATGCTTATCAATAGGCCAAAATTTAAAGATAATGTGCAGCCTTTATAACTTAGTGGGAAAAGGCACCCTCAAATGATCCAGCTATCAACTTTGTGATCTTAAAAAAAAGTATTCTTCATTTCCTTTGCACACGTCTTAATGGAAGTGAACATCCTGATCAACATATTTACCCTTTACAGATTTTGTTACATAAATAGATGTTCAGAAATACTTCCAGACTATAAATCTCCAGGTGCTTTTCTACAATATGATTATACTCAGCTTTTAATTCAAGAAGGAATGTACATGAGAGAACTTCCACTGGATTAAACACAGATCAAAGTCATATTTCAAATACCGTTTCCTCTGGCTTTCAGGAATTGACCAAGGTCAATGCTGTGGCTCTTGTGTCTGTGAGGACAAGGTGGATTTCTGGAAAAACATTTCTCTGATTTACTTATTTTCCAACTCATTCCATAGAGGATTCTGGGTTTTTTCATCAAAGTGCTGTGAGATCTTGGACATGTTTATTCATTGCTGTTTGAGAATCTTAAAACCTCAAGGCTTTCATAACCTATACAAATAAGCTGAATGAGAGCTCCTATTGTCGAATGAGTGTAAGAGTCCTTTTAATATTCTGTTGCCAGAGGCAAAATTGAATGTCCCCTGCTTGTCTGTCTTAGGCAAATGGGAAAGATCTCTAAGAAAATAAAGAGAAATGAAAATATATGCTAAGGTGGTGAAATTATGAATGATGTTTTTTTCAACATTTTTATGTAACGTTATGTTGTTTTACAATAAAAATTTGAATGCTCTTATCATCTATTACTCAGTTATTTAAAATGTACATTTTACCAGAGTCTCAAGTAGAATGAAAATAATTTTTCAGAACACAAAATGCAAAACAAAACATGTCAGAATCTTACCCAAGGAGGATCAAAAAGCATGTTTTGAAATGTGTTTTCAGTGCTGTTATTATTTATCATATTATGTTAAATGTCCTAAAAATTGAGTGGTTGGGCAAAAGCCCATATGTGAAGATTTCTATATGTGAAAATTTCTATAACTTAGAATCTAGTAAAAATCAATTTGAAGGTTAAAGCTAGATGTACTTGTCAAAATGAGAAAAGGTATATGTAAAAGAAAAACAATTTGATATACGGGGTTTTTTTTTTCCTACACATCAAGAAATTTTGCGATAGGCCCAACCTGGGATGTCCTAT